GCCCGGGGCTGGCTGGCTGCGGGGCGGCGCGCAGGACGGGCCGCTCCGGCGGGGGCCCCGGGCCCGGCACGCGCCCCGCGCCTCGCTCGTCCTGGCTCCCCGCAGGATCGACCCGAGGCGCGAGGATGCCGCACCAGGCGTGGGCGACCGGGGTCCCTGCCGCGCCCTGCCCACCACGGGGAGGCGGCAAGCCCTGCCCGGCAGCCCGCCCTGCCCCGCGGGGGTCCTCCGTGGCCAGGCGAGGGGGTGCGGCCGCGCCACGCAGGACGCGCGGGGCCGAAGCGGGCCTTCCGTTGCGCACCCCGACTGGCCTTTCTTGCCCTGTGGCCGCCTGCGGTGCGAAGCGTGGCGGGACCGAGTGGCCACCTGGTCTCCCGCGGAGCCTGCGCTGCGCCTGCCGGCTAGAAGTGCTCGACCCTGCCGGGCGCGGAAGGAGATTCGGCAGCGCGCGTGGCGCGCCTGGGCCCCGGGCGAGGACAGAGGAGCTCCGCTGAGAGCTGCCCGTGGCCAGGCGGGCTCGGCCACCAGTGAGCCCCGCTCCGGCTGACCGGCCGCTCTCACGTGTCCGCGGAAGCCTCCGGAAAGGGCCGCTGCTTTGTGCTGCGTGGTCCCCGAGAGCGAGCTGCCGCTCTGGTGTTCCTCTTTGCGCAGCGGGAAGGGGCGGCCGCTCCTTCCTGCGCAGCTGCTGCCCCCCAAGGCTGCCCGGACGGGCAGCGCGTGGAGTGCAGGGGCCAAGCCGCATGTCCCGAGTCCTCGTCCGGCTGGCGGTGGGCCGAGCCCTCGGGCGGGTGGGAGGCTGCGATCGCGGTCCATTGTGCTGGGGTTTTGCTCTGCACTGCCGCTGAGGTTTGCACAACGGGGTGCGGGTGTGTTTCCTGAGCTGGTGTGTCCTGGGGGAGCGTGTGTCTCCTGAGCTGGTGTTTCTCTGCTGCTGCCTGTGGAACGACACCGATGCAGCGGCAGGCGCCCCTCCAGGGCGCCCGGGGCAGGGCAACCCGCTCTGTGGCACATGCCAAGCGGTGGGGGGGAGCGTGCCCAGCCCACAAAGTGCCCAGCAGGGGCCTGGGAATGCTGTGAGTCCTCGCCCGCCTTCCCCCCATGCCTCCAGTGGGTCTCTGGGGTCCCTGCGGGAGGAATGCATCTCCCCGCCCACCTGCTGGCCTTGTCAGGCCTGGAGATCGGTCGGGCCAGCTGTGAAGTCGGCTGAAGTGGCCTCCGTCCCCAGAAAGGCTTGCCGCCGCAGCAGGGAGCTGAGGAGCCAGGACTTCTCCGGCTGGGTGGACGGCCACTGCCCTGTGCCACTGCCACCAGCCCGCCTTGGGGGACAGGGGGACCGACGGCTCAGTCTGAGGAGTTCTCAACGAGGAATTCAGGTTTAAGGCCAGGGCGACGTGTTCCAGCAGGTGGAACTGCCCTCCGTCAGGGGACGCCATCGTTTTGCCCTGCCCTGCAGAGCCTGCACCGAGGAGGCGTTGGGCTAGGTCAGGGTAGCCAATAGGATGCCCTCCAGATGTTCTGGATACAGTCCCCTCCCAGTCCTTGGCCGTTGACCATGCTGGCTGTGGCTGATGGGAGTGTTAGCTCGAGGCTGAACACTGGCCGCTCAGCTTGCTGACTAACGGAGCAGGGGGTTCAGGGTGTGTTGCAGGTAAAAGGGGGTGAGAAAGCCCACCTGCCACTGGGGCCTTCCCTCCCCTGCTTCGCCCACCAGACACCACAGTTGCGGACGACCACCATGGACTGCGGAGAGAGCGAGTACCTGGATGCTCGTGGGAGCTGCCGCCCTTGCCAGGAATGTGGCCCTGGACTGGAGCTGTCCAAGGTAGGGACCGAGCGGCTCTTTGGGGCTGAGCGCTGGAAGTGCATTCTGTCCCCACCCGCCCTGTGCAGGCCAGTGGGCCCTCCGAGGGAGGCGTCCCTTTTAGCAGCCCAGCAGCACAGTGCTGCGCCCCCCCCCCCCCCCACACACACACGAATCCGGTCCGTGCAGAGCACAGCGTATCGTGCTTCTTCCGCCGCAGCGTGTTGGCTGCATGGCGCCCTTGCAGGAAATGCCTCCCCCTTGGTATCCGCTGGGCAGCTGGCAAAGGCGGGGCTGTGCCGCCCAGCATCTGCTCATTGCGTTTCTAAAGCCACCCTCTGCTCCCTGGTTTTAGGCAACTGCATTTCCAAGCACTTAATCGTTGTGTTTTTACTTGCCTCGAGCGCTCACTGCCCGGAAACGCGAGGCTGCAAATGCCCCACAAGCGCAGGGGAAATAGCCTGTTGTGTCTCCCACAGGAGTGTGGCTATGGCGAAGGGGGCAGCGCACAGTGTGCGCCTTGCCACCCCAGGCGATTCAAGGAGGCGTGGGGCCCCCACGGCTGCAGGCCCTGCCTCTCCTGCAGCCTCATCAACCGGGTGCCGAAATCCAACTGCAGCGCCACCTCGGACGCGACCTGCGGGGAGTGCCTCCCTGGGTGAGTCCGCGTGCACCGCCGGAGCCCCCGCATCTCTCGGGGTGACAGGGTGAAGCTCTTTGGCATGGGAGGGAACAACGGAGGGAAGGGCCCCCTGCAGAGGAGCCGCTCCAGAGCGGTGTGAGCTGAGCGTCCCTTTGGGTGCAGCCGGTGGAGGTTTTATCAGGCTCAAAGGCTGCTGCTCAACGCGAAGGCTTCCCTGGGCTACTTGGTGTATTGCACGCAGCACCGCATTAAGCACCCTCTCCATTTTTTTCTTCCTCTTGACAGTTTCTACAGTAAAACCCAGATTGGAGGGTTCCAGGATCTGGAATGCATTCCGTGCACGAAGCAAACCCCGTCCTCTGAGCTGCAGTGTACGTACCAGCCGGCTCCTCTGCCAGCCATTTATCCTGATTCTGGTTGCGGCCTGATTCAGGAAAAGTCTTGCCATGACCCAAAAAATGTGAAATAGCCCTGCACATTTACCAGTTCCATACCAGGAAAGGCTGGATCCTGCAATCTGTCTAAAATTGTGTGGGCTGCTCATAGAATCCTAGAACAGCAGAGCTGGAAGGGGCCATGAAGGCCATCAGGTCCAGCCCTCTGCTGTTGCAGGACGCTGTGTCCATATGGTGCCGATGGCCTTGGTCTTCAGGGTGGTCTCCGTGCATCGTGCACGTGGGTCGGCACCTGCATGCAGGCTGCTGTGTGAGCCTTTTCCTCCTCCTCAGGGGCCGCTGGGGGGCTCCCTCACCTCTTGGACTATTCTGGCGTCCCTGTCTAAAAACATACAATAGTTGGGTCCTACTCTGAGGCTTGTGCATCCGGGCTGGACTCAGTGAGAGCCTTTTTTGTTGGGGCTGCTGGGCTATCAAAAGTTAGATATGATTTCCCGGTACACCCCATGTCTAGGTGTGTTTGCTGACGGCTTTTTGTCCAGCCTAAAGATTGCTTGGTGGATTAGCTGTGGGTGCCACAGCTGAGAATCTCGTTACGGGAAAGCATGCGCTCGCCCCTTGCATTTGCCCGGCTGACCCCTCGGTTGCGCTTGCAGGCCACTCTGGCGCTCGCCTGGTGAGGATGGAAAGCCCCCCGGCCGCGGGACAAGACCTGGCACTTGTGGTGCTGACCAGCAGCGCCCTGGTCATCCTCGTGCTCGTGCTCCTGACTGTCTCCTTCCTGTACTGCCAGCGGTTCTGGAAGAGCCAGTGCCAGCGGGGTGAGTTCCCCCAGGCAGCCGCTCGTCTGCCCCCTTCCCTTTCCTGGCCTTGCCTGGAGGCCGGCTCCTTCCCTCTCAGCTGCCTTCCGGGCCTCGACGGCAGGAGTGCCCAATATTTCCGGCCATGTTTAGTGGACGGGGGGATGCATGCAGAACGGGAAGCTGAAAACAGACCCAGCAGCACTGGCTAGTAATAGCAGCAGTACGCTGCAGGTGGGTGGGATCGGTTCCTTTCTTAGGATCCGTCGGACTGCTAAGGTGGCAAGCCATATGTCTGTCCAGATGGATCCACGAGCCACGGTGCGGGCTTCCTTTCCAGGTGGGTACAGATATGATTTCAGGTGTGTTTGCTGACGGCTTCTTGTCTCTCTGTGTTTCTCAAGTGTTCCTGAGGAGTCAGACTCTCCCTGGGCAGAGAGTGGTGTTCCAGGCATCTGCTGTCTCGGCTGACTTCCCTTCCCAGGAGCCCCTGTCGGACCCCTGCTGCTTAGACATCCGGAGTTCAAGCCCCAGCTGCAGGCCACTGGAAGGTAGGGCGTGTCCTTGGGCCAGGGGACGGGAGGTGCTGGACACGGGAAGAACCCTCCTTTCTTGGTTGGGCGGCGCTGGTACACACGCTCCTGTGGGGGGGGGTGCGGGGGGTTGGATCACCAAATCAAGGCATGCCTGCTGCCCACAAACTGGGACGCTCCCTCTCTCAGCCCCCCACCCTGTGCAAAGTATCATTTTTGGAAGTGCTTCTGTAAGTCCTGCCTCTGATTTTAGGTCCTGCAGAAGCTGTCCCGTTCATCGCAGAAACTGATGTTCCCGGGCTCCGTCTCCCCATTCCCCAGCCGGATCTGGGCTTGTCCGGCCTGATCAAAATCAGCCCCAAGGCTGCCCTGGCCAGGGGCCGTCTGGAGACCCGTCCCCTGATCAGGAACTCAGGCTGCAGCGACTGCTCCTCCGGAAGCAGCTTCTTCCCAGAGTGCAGGCAGGACCCTGGCGGGGACCTCGACCACCCAGCTCCGCTCTCCTCGTGTGCCACGGAGTCACAGCACCACTGGCCGCATGCCCCCGTGGAATGCACGGAGCTGGACCTGCAGACGTTCTCCGCCCGGGCCGAGCTTCAGGCCACCAGCCGCAGAGAGGATCCCGGGAACGGGGCGGAGCAGGCGGGCTTCACCGGCAGGCAGCAGCCGGCAGCCGGCACCCTCGCCAGACTCGTGGCTGACTCTGGCCAGGAGCCCTTTCCATCTTTCAGAACTCCTGCCGAAAGCGGGGAGCTTCTGGTAAGTTTCTGCCTCAGCTCTCTTTCTGAGCCAGAGCCACCACTGCAAAGGGGGACGAGCAGGGCAGCAGATCCGTTTGACTGGGGGGAAAGTTGCCGGCCGCCAACCCAGCAGTCCAGCCTTGCTCAGAACAACTCTCAGCACCAAGGCACCAGAGACTGTGTCAGTCGGTGGCTGACTCAGTTACCCAGAAGCCTGTGGGTTTGCATGCTGCATTCAGGGCTTTCCCTGGAATGCCCCCAGGGATATTTCAGCCTTAACAGCCATGCTCCTTAGCAGGCCCATCGCTGGGGCGGTCGGCATAAGGCGTGGGGTCCCATGCTGTGGCTGGTTCTGGCTTCGCCACGGCCCTGCCTGGAGTGAGATGGCTGTCGGGCCGAGGGATGGGGCTCCGGTTCCAGAGCTGTCTGCCCCTCGGAGAGTTCGATGCAGCAGACACTGCCTGCCCCTGAAGCTTCTGCCCCATGCTGCCAGTTCCAGAGTGGCGTGGCACACCCTCCACACAGAACGATGGTGCTGCTGGGGACCTCAGAGGTCATCTGGACCAGTCCCTCGCTCCATGCAGGGCAAGCCCTTGCCACCAGTTAAGCATTCCTGCTCACCCCACCTGAGCAGTTCTCATAGGCCTTTGGTTAGTCTGCAATCCTGAACAAACATCTAATGCAGTTGATAGCAGAATATGTAAAAGAACTGAAAGAGAGAGAAAGAGAGAGTCTGATTTTTCAGTACTTTGAATGTGTGGCATGGGAAGGATTCAGACTGACTGAAGGCATAGTTGTGTTTTTGACCACTTAGTAAACAATCTTGGGTAAGGCATGGTATATAAAGGATTCTGAGCACTGTACCCCTGGCACTTCTCATCCATCCCTATTTCAACCTGGTCCCAAGGCTAGTGGTCCCAAAGCATTCGAAGATGTTGATAAGATTGCTGTGTAACTAACTGCTAATTTGTTTACAAGCATTTGTTTATCTTATCAGGGTCATGGTGGGAAGAGTCTCCTGACTGAAATCACACAAGGTAAGTGAAAGAGTTGCCAGTGTTTGCCTTCTGGAGCAGGTGCCAGAGCCTGCTTGGAATTCAGCTTGGCGTCTCCAATAAGGGGAACAAGCCGGGCCAACGACACAACATTGCCGCGCGGAACACACCCAGAGAATTGAGTTTACTATTAGCATTTGAGCGACGGGGTCTCTCTCTCCTCATTGCGAGATTTCCCAGTAGGTGGACTCCCGGAGTCCTTGTTGCTGTGTCTTGGTCTCGAGCTGGAGCCACCCTCGCCAGGACTCAACGTTTCAGCCACTTGGGCTTGGAACTGGGAGTCCAGGCTCACCAGCTGAGCCAGATGTCTGGGTTCAGGGGGCTTTTTTAAATACCTTGCTGATTCTGGAAACCCTCTTTTGGTTCTTATCTTGGCCCAAGCTCTGCAGAAGCTCCAGCGATTTGATGCCTTGCTTTTGCTTTATAATCATGTTGCTGGGAGTGAAACCTAGAACTTCCAACCCTGAGCAGTGGCCTGCCTCTTCTCCCTGGAGCTCTGTCCTCGTTGAGAGAGCGTTGCGGGCTTTTCTGCAATGAGGGATGCCAAGACAGCGAAACGGTACACTGACAGGAAGTTTGGGGTATGTAGCAATAAGCTTTCTATTTTGGACTAAAATCCTAGGTTAAACAAGAGCCGCTTATTTGCAGAGGCCGAAGAAGAAACCCAGGAATATTTCAAACATCATTCCTCTGTTTGAGAGCTGCTTCATACAGTTCACTTCCTGGATCGTCTTGGTTTTGCCTTGGAGAGAGCGTGAAGATGGCAAATGCACCACCTCTCTCTTTTCTCAGAATCTGGCAGCAAGGCCTGGTGGCCCTGACAGAGTCAGGCCTTAGGTCCCAAGCAGTTGGCGCCCACAGGTCTCCATTCCTTTCCTTATTTGAGCAACTGACCATCTGCTTCAAAAGAATCGATCTTCACGGGTCGTCCTGATGTGCCTGAAGAAATTTCTGTTCCGTCAAGCAAAACCTTGAAGATAAGTCCATTTCTTTATGGATACTTTAGGTTGCTGTGATGTGTTTCCAGCGTGCGATCCCTTAAGGGAATTTTACCGCTGCCAGGTATCGGGTTGGTTTTTTTAACCCCTGTCTTTTATAGCAATCTTGTACAGGTGTGACATACTCTTTGAATGCCTTTATTGTTTGGAGCCTTGAGTTATTCAGCAGAAAGAGGGTACTGGACCAGTCTGTGATCCGGATGGGCTCCGGCTGTACTTTGTTTCTCCTTGGAGTGGCATTTTTGGAGAAAAGCTCTATGGACCACGCTACTTAAGACAATGGGAGGATGGGTAATTGTCAGACTGGGAGTACAGAAAAGGTTCCCAATGTAATGGGTTTTTTTTTTTCCTTTTCTTTTGCTTCACAATTCAGGTTTTCACACTTTTCATTTCACTTTCCTCACAAGTGATGCCTCAAGGCAGGGTTCCTTGGCTGTAATGGTGACTAAGTAACACTAATTCTTAACTTCCTGGTTTCCTGACAAACTTTCAGGAGCTCTGACCTAGCAGAGGGCTTGGGTCAGTCACGGAGAAAGCCCCATGCCCCATGTCAGCGGAGCTGCATTCCCCAAATGCCTCACCACAACTGCAGAGAGAAAGGCGGGTCACGTACCACCTCAGGGAAGAGGGGTTTGCTTGAGCCAGTAGTTGAAGGCAGATACTTCCTCGCCTCTGCGTGACAGAGTTTCCTCCTATGACCTGTTTGGGGTGACTTTGCTCTGGTCATCTTAGCAAATAGCTCTGTGGACCAGTACTCTTGTTTCCAGCTCCTGAACATGGTTCTGTCCTAGAATAATTTCAGCTCTGGTAATGTACAGGAAAGTAGTAAAGGAGACCGCAAACCAGGAGATGGTCAGTGATGTTGAATGAGGCCATGGCTTGGTGCAGAAATGCTATTTTTATTCTTTATTTATCATGGGCATCGTAACGTGCCGGTTCGCTGACCCAAGGGTGCCGCTGGGGACAGGGTGCAGCTAGCCTGACACTCTCCTGCTGCTCATGTCAAAGCAGTGACTTCATTTTCTGGTTTCCAAGGATGGAAACCCTTGGGAAAATCATCCCTTTCCAGGGAGAATCTGTTCAAGCCTGCCGCCGGAAGCACGAGGGTTTCGCCGCAATCGTTTCCAAGGCTTCTCGGCCAGATGCCCAGTTCTGTGTGTCTCAGCAGGAAGGATTAGGCCTAGCTTTGAAGTGCCAGTTTGAACAAGTGAATTCTGGGAGCAAATGTGTTGAAATACGAATGGAATCCCAGAGCGAGTGATGTGAACAATGTTAATGCAAGTCATTAAACTTGGCTTCTTTACAAGGGGCAGAAAATTCCTGTAATGAATTAGCTTTAATGATCTGGAGGAGATAAGATTCACGCACAAACCTCCCAGCTGCGCTAGGTCAGCCCTGCTTGCAGAGGGCAAGCCCACCAATCTCAGGGTTGGAGGCGAGAGCTAGGAAGGGTAGGGAGCCTGCGTTCACTCACACGTGACAAATACGGAGCGCTTGCCAGACACGGCAGCTCTGCCCTGAATTCTCCCAGCCTCAGTCTCCTCTTTAAGACCTGATTCAGGAAGGGTGATACCCAGAGCACTTGCAGCCCCCACCCCGCTTCCATTTTACACAAAGAAAAGGCACCCAAACGACTAAATTTCGCTGGCTTGCAGCTGGTGAGCAAACTGCAGCAAGTGCCAAGCAGGTTTGATTTTGCTTCAGGCCAAGCTAAGTGAGCCATGGTGGTGCTCCATTTCGCTGCAGAGTGGTTTTCTCTCGTTTAGAAAAAGGATCCCGCAAACACACGTGCGGTTAGAGCACGGGGGTTGGGTGCGCACCGCTATTTTTATTGTATAATTTGGATCTTGCTGTGAGCCGCCCCGAGGCTTTGTTGCGATGGGGGCGGCATAGAAATGTTTTAAATAAATAAATATGGAGAAGCTGAATTCCTGCTATCTGATGGGGGAGAAGGCAGAACAGCAGCCCACCTTCAGTCTCTCTCCCCCCTAATCAGCTGATTATGGGCCACCCGTGCCCAGCCCTGGTGCCGGGTGAGCTGAGGAAGAGGACCGCACATCTTGTCTGTGCTCGTCCTCCTAGAGTTGGGTCGGGGCAGCTGTCCGCCGAATCAGCCTTCTCCTTTTCCACCCTCTTCCTGGCTTTCTTCTTTTGCCCCCTTGGTTTAGCATTTCAAACCACATACTTAGCTTTGAGAAGTGTGGGGTCATCAACCCATCTTGTTTATCTGATGTCATCTTCTATTAAAGCACAAGCTCGAAGCCAAACTTGGCTCTCTTTTTAGCCCAGCAGTAGCAGCTGTGATATACATTACATTTGTGTGTTGTTTGGGTTGGTTTTATTGGAAAGAATTTGATGATGCAATGATTTTTGAAGACTTCAGGTATAACTGCAGAGAATCCGATACATACAGTATCGATACTGGTGTGGTTACATGACTTCCATATTAATCTCAGTCAACAGACTGAAATTAGTTTCAATTCTTCTTCGGTAATTATAGCTGGTAATCTGACTACATGTCTTCCTATTTGCTAGGAACTGGCTGGCTTACATAGTTTGGCTGCAGATACTCTTTGCTAATCCACCAGGGATGTTAAGTTGTCTGGAAATGCAGACAGGGCAAAAAATTGAAGCTGGTTGATATGACGGTTTGGGTGGTACTGAAAAATACTGTTTCACGAAAACCTTAAAAGCCACGTATCACCTTGTTGAAATTAATCTACACATTTAAGCTCAGCTCAGGTTTGACTGGGAATACATTCTGGTGTTTACTGCTTATCATAATATGTATAAAGTTAATCCATTTTAGGCAAGATGAAAGGTTACAATGGGCACAGTTCCAGAGATTCCATGGCAAAGGCTTTGCAGTTGCTGTTTCCTTTCACCAGTCCTAACTGGGTATGTGGCTTTGGGGTTTTGTTTAGCTCTTTTAAAATAAGGATTTGTAAAATACCTTAGGATGAAGTTTAGAGTCTGCCTATTCTTTAGTTCATTCTTCCTAGGATATGTGCCCGAATTGATTCCTGGAACCGCTTTTGTGATGATTCTGTGTTCCCCAGCCGTGGCTGCTCTCCCTTGCAAAAAATGGGGGGAAGGAAGCAATCTGCTCATCTTAACTGCATGACTTAATTATGTATAGATGAAAGCTGCCTCACCTCTTGGACTCAGAAGAGGCAGCCATACTGTCAGTTCAGCAGGTGGATGATGAGGTGCTGTTCATTTCTGGGAGACCCAGCGTGTCTCTTCGCTGGCCAGGAGATTGGGGGCCAACGCAGTTTGCAGCTGCGTGTGTTATTTGCTGGTGCTGTGAAATAGCATGGTGTGAAGATTGATTTTCTCATCGTCCAACAAATCTTTTTCTTGATGTTCCTCAAAGGCTGCAGTGGGCCCACGTGGTTCCCCCGCTCCTTTGCCCACCCTCCTGTTGGGAGCATGAATGCTTCCAGCCGCAAATTGTATTTTCTTGCATGCTGGGGAAACTTTCAGCCTTGACCTGCAAAAATGTACCATTTTACAGAGTTTGAAAACCCTGCTGCCCATGGATGTTTTCACGCCCACATCCAACATTTTTCCTTAAGTATGAAACTGCAGGAGGAAGTGTTAAATGAAGATCAGGTTCCTCATGCAAAGCAAACACAGCTGCATCTTCCTAGTCCATTGACTTCTGCACTGCAGCAAAACATCCTGGCCTAGGGATGGTGCGTGATAGACCTGAACGCTGTCCCGCCTGCCAGCATCTCTCCCAGGCAGAACCCTACGGCTTGCTGCACACTGACTTCTCCTTCACAATGAAGTCTGGACCACGGCTTCCTGCCTTGTAGGCCATGCCTGCAGACTGCCGTTGCCTGGGTTATGAGATTTCACTCTGTGAAAAATAAGAACTATTTCAAATGTATTTTCTTTCAGTTTGTTCATGTTTCTGTGCCTGTGTATATAGAATATATTTTGATTGTGAATGCAGGTTCGGACAGGACCCTTTTTGATTGAAGACTAAGACGTTGAAACCAGATCCCTTTGTGCCCGGTGAAACAAAGATCTCTGTGCAGAGGGGCTGCTTCTGCCTGACATGTGAGCAGCCCGATGACCCTGCACGTTTTTACTAGGAAATACGTCCCACTGATTTCAATAGGACTTACACAAGATAAGTTTACATGCATCTGAGGTCCATGACTCTGATTCACAAAGTAGCTAAACAACTACTATGAGTTTCAGTCGGATTTTCTCCGAGTCCTGGTGGAGTCTCACTGGTCTTCCATTCAACATGCTTTGGAATGTTCCAGTAACTTAGTCTCGCCATTTCTCCACAACCAGTCCAGATAAGGAAGACATGGTTATGTGAATCTGTCTTCAGTGTGCCTCAGAGCCCTTATCTGAAATTAAATCTCAGTCAGTTTATAAGGCTGGGTCGTAATCTGACAGATGTACGTTTTAGTTGAATGTCATATGAACAAAACCGCATACAGTTCTGTGAGCGAGGATAAGCGACACTGGTGCTGAACAACAAGACAGAAATACCGAACACCCAGGAATCAGCTGAAAGTAACCAGTTTTAGGAAGCAGATAAACATTTTGAAGCATTATAACATCGATCGGGAAGTCCTTGTTATGTCCCAGTTCAGGAAAACAGGGAACCGAGTTCAGAACTGCGCCATCTCCTTTGGTGCACAAAATGTCGTCTTGTAGACGCTTCTAGTGAAGTGGCATCACATGAAGGGCGATGCATGTGAATGGCTCAGCCACGTTACTCTTGCTTGCATCCCACGTGGATCAATGTGAGCTCAGCACATTAGACCCATGAACTCTAATGGGAGCGGAGTAAGATCTGTTGCTGAGCTGCGCACTCTTCCTTCCTGATGTTACTGCTAACGGCTACCTCACTCTCGAAAGCTTGCAATTCATGCAGTACTGAAATGCAATGGCATGTCTGAGGTTTGTTTTCTCAAAACTGCATGCTGTGGATCTACCACCAGAAAACTGCCCAATTGCTCCATGGCAAGGGAGCTACAGGTTCAGGATGACTTCTGTCCAAGAAACTTATGTGCAAGTCCTGGTCATTAAATGCATGCTTAAATAGTCTTTATTGTCGATATTTAATGAAATACCCTACAATTTGAGTTTTTTCATCATGCCACTGAATGAGTTCTTCACCTGCTATTCCATAGAAGGATGCTGAGAAAGGCCATATTTTTATAGACTGTTTCAACTAACTGAGTTTACAATTGCATGATCCCTAAGAGGGGTGTCCAGGACCTTCTCAGTGGTTGGGATCTCCTCCTCTCTGCCTGGAGATAAAAGTATCTGATCTCTTACTCAGCCCACCCCTTACAGCTCCTGCAGAAACTTTTGTGTCCTGTTCCTTTCTGATGTTGGCACTCCAATGTTACGAGAGGTAAAGCGGGAGCAGGTGGGAGGCTAGAAAGGAAAGCAAGGGGAGGTATGGGGTCTGCAGGAAAGAAAGCCCTCCCAGTCCCAAGTGTGCCCTCAGCACAGGGCAGGGGAATCTTCTGCTGCAATGAAGCGGCATAATTTTCCTGCCACTGTTTGCAAAGGGAGGGGAGCAGGTTAACCAAGCAGCCTGGAAGAGGAGGAAGAAAGGCTGTTGTGAGGCCAACGGTGCTTTGGATGCTAAGCAGGCTCCACAGCTGGCAGGGTGGTTCTGGCAGTCTTCCTAGTTGCAACAGGCGAGATACAGTCTTGCCAGCATTGTCCTGGAATACACATGTTTAAAAATATTTGGATTGAGTTCTTGCTTATAGTTTGTTACAATTCTTGATAAACAAAGGGTGTGAGTACATTCTACAACACAAAGTTTCTGACTTTTAAAAACATGCTTTATTGTATTGAAGCCAGGAATTTCCTTTGGAAAATTGTACAGTTGGTATTTCTTACAGAGTTTCTATTTCTTAATTGTAGGTTATTTTTGGGAAAATAATGATGTATGTTTATATTTTTTATCTAAGTATTGCATTGCTTTGAATGCAATTTCACATGAGTCTGACTTGGATGTTTGAGATACTTGTTTTATTTTGCAGGAGTAAAATCCAGACCTAATTTGTGAATCCCCTAAAATTAGGTCATTTCATGTTTTGTATTTACAGTTAAGAAATAAAAAGAATATTGTTTTCTATAAAGTATTGTTTTCTTGTGTATGAAGCCTGAATGTTTTATCACTTCATAAAGGTGGACAGAACCAACAAACCTGCACGGCAAGGGCGGCAGTCCACAGTTGTTGAGAAGGTATCAAAAGAGGACAAACAGTTCTCCCCAGAAGCTAGGAGAAGGCTCAGTGGGCTAAAATTACTATTAGGTTAAGCTTTAGAAGCTTCTTCATCCTAAGGTGACATCAGCAAGATGGTGAAATGCCACCTGCTTACAATTTGCTTTGCCTTAAGTTGCTCCAGTGCCCAAACGTATGGCGTTTAATGTGGACATTTTCCTGAATGCTGCAAATGCTATTTGGTATTTTCTCCCAGCTCAGTATTCCAAGTGGTGCCTCACTACAGAGCAGTCTATTGTAATGTGCTCACCACATCTTCGGTGCAGCTGTACTGGAATACTACGTATGATCTCCACATCTCAAAGAAGGTAGTTTGAACTGGTGCAGGAAGGAGCAAGCAAAAGGACGCGTTAGAAGCACCTTTCCCAACAGACTGAGGCTTTTTAGTTTAAAGAATGGACACACAACGCACGGCCCTGGGCATAAGTACTGAAAGGCTGCCAATGCACGTTGATATTATCACTTAGGATCGGTTAAAAAACAGCATGAATGTCTTTCGCCGAGGCTGGCTTTGTCTGGCATCTGACATGTTGGGAAAATTTGGGTAAATCCTGTCTGAAAAGCATTACTCGTGTGCCTTTGCATTGTGGGATCAAATCCCGTCTTCCTTCTCAAAACCAAGCTGTCACTGTTTAAAATGGCACTCCCCACTCCTTTCTCTCACCTTTAGCTGTAGGCTACAGCAGGCCATTTTAGCCCAAATATCCATTGTAAATAGTCATTGTTGGAATTCAGTTTACAATAATCTTTTGATAGCCCAGAGGGCTTCAAGTGCCCTGATCATGCAGAATGTCTAGAGTCGAGATGGGGGTCTGAGCTTATCATGAGTAGTTTGTAGTAGCTTGAATATGCATGTCTGAGCAGACCTGGAGATGGGTTCAAGTCACTCAACTAAAGTGTCAATACAGGCAATTAGAAATATTGTGATCTCATTGTTACAGTGTGATTGACTGACATTCCTTTATCTGTTCTGTATGCGATGACCTCCGACTCCTGCTGTAATCTCTGCATTCTGTCACCAATTGCCCTGTACCTGTGCACCTATAAATGCCCTGCAATGGCACTGACGCTTGGTAGCAGAGCTCACCTCCGCCTGCCGGGTAGTGCACGCGTTCTCGTGAGAGTCCACCGCGGGAACCGTGGGGTAAAACAATAAAGCCTAGACGGTCCGGACGCTTGGTCTTCCCCACGAACCCGAGTTCCATTCCCTCCGCAAACCGAGATCCCGGGCTTCTGGCGGACGGGCGGCGCGCGTGCGGCTCGGGGCGTCATGCGGCGGAGCTGGAGCTGCGGCTGCCAAGGCTCACGGGGCCGGCATCTGTCTCGCGGCGGCGCCCGCGTCGCTGCTCCGCGGCGGAGTTTAACGGCGCGCGAGGGAGGCTCCGCCGCGACCGCTCCGCCTGCGAGGAAGCCGCCCCCTCCGCGGCCGCCGCCCCCGGGCGCCCAGGCGACGCCGGCCCGGCTCTGCGGGCGACGTCATCGCCGCGCGCCCCCCGCCCTCCCCCCCGGCGCGCGCGGCTGACGCGCGAGGGCGCGC